AGAAGGCCAGGAGAGTGGTAAGGGTCCGGATCTCTGCAGGTAGATCGTTCCACAGGGCCAGCGCAGCGACAGAGAAGGCCCTCCCCGGGGGGCCGCCAGCCGGCATTGTCCGGTTGACGGCACCCGGAGGAGGCCCAACCTGTGTGATCTTGTTGGTCGTTGGGAGGTAAGTGGCAGGAGGCGATCTCTCAGGTAGCCAGGTCCTAAACCATGAAGGGCTTTAAAAGTAACGACTAGCACCAGAGACCAATAGGGAGCCAGTGCAGCTCGCGGAGGATAGGTGTAACGTGGGTGTATCTAGATACACCGCATATTGCTCGTGCGGCTGCATTCTGGGCCAACTGTAGTCTTCGAACACTCTTCAGGGGCAGCCCCATGTAGAGCGTGTGTGTGTGTGTCTGTGTGTGTGTGTGTAGCACCGGAAACAGGAAAAGCACCTCCCCAGCGCATACGCACAGGGGCACCAGAAACAGGAAGAGCAGTTCCCCACCACACATGTGCATGCTGGGAAGCTGAGCTTCCGGTCTCCGGCATGATGAAGACTAACTGGCTGGCGCGGATGTGCATGCCAGAACTCGGAAGAGCAACAGGCAACGGTTGGCGTGCCTGGAGAGATGGCTCTGCATGCCACTTCCGGCACACGTACACATGTTTGCCACCACTACTCTAGAAAGAGTGCAGAGAAGACAACAAAGATGATTAGGGGACTGGAGACACAAATATATAAAGTTGGAATTGGGTAGGTCTAGTTTAAAGAAAAGAAGGACTAGGGGTGACATAATAGCAGTGTTCCGATATCTCATGGGCTGCCACAAAGAAGAGGGAGTCAAACTATTCTCCAAAGCACCTGAGGGCAGAAAAAAGAAGCAATGGGTGGAAACTCATCAAGGAGAGAAGCAACTTAGAACTAAGGAGAAATTTCCTGACAGAACAATTAACCAGTGGAACAACTTGCCTCCAGAAGGCTCCAACACTGGAAGTTTTTAAGATGTTGGACAACCATTTGTCTGAAATAAGATAAGATTTCCTGCCTGCGCAGGGGATTGAAGTAGAAGACTCCCAAGGTCCCTTCCATCTCCGTTATTCTGTTATTCATATGACCTTAGTGACTCTTTAGCTGTGACATAGGCAGGGAATAGCAGAGGCACAAGATAGTACTGTAGTTGTGATTTAGTGTCACACTGTTGACTTATTCCATTTCTACAGCCGCCCATCTCCGTCAATGACTCTGGCTACCTGATTTAGTCCTTGTCTAGGTTAAGATACTGATAGTAATATAGTGAAAAGCTTCAGCAGATAAGCAATAGCAATAGCAATAGCAGTTAGACTTATATACCGC